CTTGAGCTTTCAGATTCTAGGCGATCTACTAGTGAACAAGACCAAGGAGCAGAACGAGCGAGTATCCAATGGGGAATCTAAGAATCCGTTCTTCGTCACACACTACACCATCTCGAGCCATGCACCGTTCGATTCGTGGCCTAAATGGTACTCAGAATCTGAAAAGCCTGACTTTTCGGCCTTCTATGAAGGACGACCTCACGCGGATATGATCCAGAGATATCTGGAAGTGAGGTACTTTTGTGACATGGAGCTAGGCAAGTTCATGAACCGCATGGCGACGGAGGGGATTCTTAACGATACTGTTGTTATTATCACGGGAGATCATGGCCAAGCACCTGAAGCAGACGTGACAAACACGCACGAGGAGTCTATGACTCGTGTGGCAGCCGCCATTGTCGCCGAAGGACGGCTAGGTGACGCTGTAGGCTTGATGATTGAAGACGCAGTGGAGCATTATGACTTCCTTAATACGTTGGCAGATATTACTGGCGTTCCTGAAGGAGGATTCCTCCAGAACGGCGTGGGACGCTCTCTCAAACGCAAGGTTCCGTATGGGGAGCGCGTCGTCTTCAGTAATGAGCCAAACCGCAAAATGTCGATTGTTCGAGGCCATCAGCGTCTACGCTACGACCAAGTGAGTGACTCGATGATGCTGCACGACACGGAGAGCGACCACGCCATGAATACCGACCTGTTCCCGAATCTTACTGCAGCAGCGCAGGCCGAGTGGCAAGCCTGGCGTGACAACGGCCGAAGACTTGCAGCCTACTACACCAAACGGTGGGACGAAAATTGCCTGCTTGCTGTTAACTGCACGACCGAGCACTAACATAGCGGATAGTTTCGATTGCAACATTATTAGCAATATACCTTGTGTGTTCGAGAACCCACCGTCTCCCGATTGGCTTGTGCTGATGGATAACACGCACTACTGCATCACCAAGTTGTCTGTGACTCCGACGAACCTCACTCTGACGATGGTTGAGAGCGCAACTGGCACAATTTACGATGAATTCTCCATAATCAAGTCGTCTAGCACTCGAGACAAGGAGCAAGAACACTTTTCTATCGGCAATATAGAACTGAGAAATAAAATATGCTTGCATGGCATTCAGGCAAAAAAACCATTATTCTTTAATGGCAAAGTATACTTTTCTGTATATCATGTATACATCAGGCCGGTTAATGCTTTTTGCATTCAGACAAAAAAAAAAAACCATTAAAAAAATAATGTTTGTTTTCGTCTGAACGCCATCCAAGCATATTTTATTACTCAGTTCTGTACTGCTAATAGAAAAGTGTTTTTTTAGTTTGCAAAATCCTTTTCTTTACATATGTTTCGGCAAACAGAATCAAGCGAAATCAGGTGTACACTTTTTTTTCTTTTGATGAAAAGCGCTTTATTTTCGAATAAAAATGACTATTTGAAAAAAAAATTGATGGTAGAAAAAGTGTTTTTTATAAAAGTTTTTCATTTAATCAATCAAAATTTGCGGATTCAGCTCACAATCTTATTAAGAACTTGCTTTTTTACACAAACTTTTCTTATCTGAAATTCTGCTTTCTAAGGCCATCAAACACAATAAGAGCGTTTTTCAATTCCGTCCAATCAAATCACTAGTTCGTCGGAGCCACACGTGGGTATTGTATCAATGCGGATGCTGCATCGGCTGCCGGCGGTAGGCTGCTCTCCGCGCGCCTTTTGCTCGCTGCTACCTCCACGTTGGCTCTCCACCTCGTCCTACTCTTCTTCTCCAACATGCCGAGACCTCAAGATGTTTAACGCACTCACAGGCCAGTGCGAGCCGTTCCCGCGAGAGACCTCCGCGACCCCAAATGTCTTGAAATGGTACGCGTGTGGCCCCACAGTGTACGACAGAGCGCATCTGGGCCACGCTAGGGCCTACGTAAGTCAGGATATTCTACGTCGAGTGGCCGAACGCACAGGTGGCTACAACGTTCAGCTAGTTATGGGCGTGACGGACGTGGACGACAAGATCATCAAGCGTGCGAAGGAGAAGAACGTGAGCTTCGAAACTCTCGCACGCGAACAGGAGCAGCAGTTCTTCGCCGATATGACTAAGCTCTACGTTAAGCCACCTACTGCAATCACTAGAGTCAGTGAGCATTTACCAGAGATCATTAAGTACATCAAAGAGATCCAGAACAAAGGCTTCGCTTACGAAGCTGTAGACGGCTCCGGCGTGTACTTTAACACGCAACAATTAGGAGATAAATACGGCAAGTTAGACCCTAGAAGACAGACGCAACAGGATGAACAACTGCTGGCAGCAGTCGAGCAGAGTGACGTGGTGGAAGAGGAGGAGAAGGTGAAGAAAGACCCGAGAGATTTTGCCTTGTGGAAGGCCGCAAAAGAGCCTGACGAGCCGGCGTGGCCGTCGCCATGGGGCATGGGCAGACCTGGCTGGCATATCGAATGCTCGGCCATGACGCATCATGTTCTGGGCGACAAGCTCGACGTGCACACAGGCGGCGTGGATCTTCGCTTCCCGCATCATAACAACGAGATCGCGCAGTGCGAAGCGCACAACCATCAGCAATGTAACCATGACGAGGAATGGTGCAAACATTTCGTGCACTTTGGCCACCTGTATATCCGCGGCCGGAAGATGTCCAAGTCGCTTAAAAACTTCATTTCGGTCCGAGATTTCTTGCAAGACGGACATACAGCGGACCATTTCCGACTCTTCTGTCTCCAGTTTAAATACCGTGCCAACTTGGTGTACTCAGAGGACCGTGTGCGGGACGCTGAAGCTGTGGCGGATCGTCTAAGAGGATTTTTCCGTAGTGTCACGGCATACGGTGACCACGAGATCTCCAGCAGTGGACATACTCAGCATATCAAGTCCAAACGCTGCGAACAACTGGATTTAGAGCTGCTGGACGCGCTATTCGCGACGCGTGCGCAGGTCGACGCAGCTCTACTGGACGATCTGGATACACCGCGTGCTCTATCGCTCGTGTTGGAGCTGGTATCTCGTGGAAACACGTACTTGTTGGCATCAAGGGGCGACACAGAAGCTCCCGATGAGGTTCTGATGTCATTGACCGACTATGTACTGGACGTGCTGGACCTCTTCGGCCTAGAAGGACTTCACGCTGAGTTTTCGACTATGATGCGTCGTCGGTTTACTTCTAGACACTCTGAAACGCAGCACAAGGTGGAGGAGAGTGATGAACTTGTCAGTAGAGACGACCATGAGGCTCTTCTCCGTTCTTTACTCAAATTCCGAGCGTCTGTGCGAGAAGAAGCGCTGCGGGACCCCAAGCAACCAGGCAACGCTCGCGTGTTGTCCTTGTGTGATGATCTTCGCAACAAGGAGCTGCCTCAATTAGGTATCCAGGTAGAGGACCTGTCACCTGGACGCTCCGTGTTCAAACTACTGTCACGTACAGAGCGTAAGGCAGAGACTGAAGACACAAAGACGACAGCGACGCACACTCTCAAGCAGAAACAACAAGAGTTCGACGCTCTCATGCAGATCTCTCCTTCCGAATTCTTCAAGAACGCACCAGAGTTCACTGGCCGGTTCAACACGTTCGATGCTGACGGATTCCCTACACACGAACACGGTGAGCCTCTAACCAAGAGCCAACGCAAGAAACTCGCCAAGAAACTGGCCAAACACGAGAAATCTTATGCCAAATACTGGCAAACTAGAAAGGAAGTGCAGTAGACGAATATACAGGCTTAGCAGGCAATGGCTGGCGACTCGGCATCGACGTACTTGACTGCAGTGCTTTGTATCGGCACGTGCGACGGCTTCTTGGAGCGGACGTACGAGTACCCAAAGCGTTGGCTCTTACGACGGTGACGGATCAAGACGACGGTAGCAACTACAGCACCACAGACGGCTGCGAAGAGCAGAGCGCTGACTGGTAAATTGTTGGACGCGTACTCGTACGCGACCATGACAGCCGACTTGGCTGCACTGTCGAAGCAGATTGTATCATTATACATGAGTGTGTTGACGCCACGAGCTTGTAGGATGACCATCATGCAGTCGTCCTGACTAAACTTGCCACTGGTGTCTGCCACGCGGTATCGCACGTGGGTCATAGTCTCAGTGTCTGTAGCGATATCTTGCAGCTCTACTGCGTCGTATTTTACATGGAGAGAGTGAGTAGCCAGGAAGGAAGCGGGGGCAGCGTCGGCGATCGTGCGTTCGATCGCCTTGCCCACTTGTCCTCGCTGTCGAGGTAGGTCTAAGTGTTCCAGTAGATCACACTGCATTTCTTCCTCGTCGGCGATGGTGTCGTTGACACAGTCCATGGTTAACCGCAGTACAGACACGTACGGCCGCTTGGAGTCCATCATACTGGACTGGAACCCGTAGTCTACTAGCAAGAAGACTCTCATGATCTGACTCATGTCGGTCTCCACGAGCTTCAGGTTGTTGTCTTCTCCTAGTCCTGTACCGATCTCGATCTCCTGTACTTCCTCGCGTGGCTCTGTCGTCTCGGCTTTCAGTACTTGTAGTATAGAGGCTTTGAGAGCCGTACGCCCCACCTCCTCCTCGTACTGAGTCATGAACTGCTTGACCAACTCCACGACCTCTTCGCTGTGCTCATCCATCGGGAGGAACGTGTCCGGCTCGCTGACAGGTACTGCAGCGATGATGGCTTCTTCACCGTCAAGTAGATCTTCGTCGACGTCGCCCGTGAGGACTTGTTCTCTCTGGCCGGCGATGTTGGCGAGCTCCTCCAGGTTGTCGGGGCTGAAGGGACTGGCCTGATCGTTCAGTACGTCCACCTCTGGCACGCTCTGAGCGATGGCGATCGCCAAGGCTAACGTACTGGCCAGCAGTAGAAGGCCCAGGTAAGAAGAGAGCGAGAGCCTCAGCGACATCGTGCTGCACAGGAGAATAATGGCGAATGACACATCGGATCTTTGGATACGTCGCTTCAAGATACACTTGATGTGGTGGACATCGGATACAGCTAATTCACGGTTAATAACGTTGATATTCACGGTTAATATCACCAGACGCGATCTTGAAGTAGCTCGCGTGTGTGGTTCACACGAAATCCATTTCAATTGTCACCTTAAAATCCATTATTCACCATTAATAACGATTAATAACCCATAAAGTGATATTAGGCGTTATTAACGGTGAATATCGGTTGCCAGAGAGGCTTCAACCGTTGGAGCCTCCAACTCAAAAAAAAAAAAAAAAAAACTAAAAACTAAACAAAAGCAGAATAATTAGAGACCTTCCGGAGCGTGTGCAGGTTGTTGCAACATACCACCCTTTGTCTCGGACAGATTTTGTAAGGTACGACGTTGTTTTAAGGAGCAACCTAGGTAGAGTACCGGGAAATTTCAGGCATTTGCATTCTCAGTCCCAACAAGAACTGAATGTGTCTACTATTATAGTAACTTCGGCGTCTCCAAACGCATCGTACCGTCGGGTTTCCCTACATTTCCTATATGTTCATAATGTAGTTCAGACACAAGAGAAAGTTTACAATGGGTTGCAGAACGGTGTGATGAGCGTAATCCTGTAAGAAACATAATGCATGTGTTTTACTGAAGATGCTCCGAGGGCAGACGTACTTCTATTGTAGAGCCAGTACAGGCTGTACATGAACCAGTAATCCCCAATGACATTGGGCCAATGTATATTCCACTGTTCCATTTTTATGGTCATGCGAACGCAGTAATAGCACGCGTTTCCGACAATAGGCACACTACGAGAGAGGGTTTCGCTGTGGTATTGGTAGTGACAGGATCCAACACATTGCCCATAGGATAGCATCGCAGGCGCGGCTGCCGCCTGTAGCATGGATATGTAGTAGCAAGATGGACGGTCAACTCAAGTGTTTACGCTTTCTCGGAGTACAGTGTGTCTGATCTCGCATCACAGCAGGGCATCTTGAGCTGCTTCGCTGTTGGCCAGAATCCGATCACCCCTCCCAAACCAGTACATCACCAAGTCACTTAAGGCGACTAATGGATTACGAACAACTGAAGGTTCTCCTTGTGCTGCTTCAAATATCATCGTGAATTGAGCCCTTCCAACCAGGACAGTTCATTTCTAAATCCGCTTGCAAAACGCTCAAGTTCTTCTCCAATCCGTAGCCCCATGCGTTTCAGCGTCTTCGTCGTATTGTTCGTGGCCTCCTTTGTGGCGTGCTGCACAAGCTTCGCTAGTGCTGAGAATATCGCCCTCGTCAACTCTGATAGTCGTCGTCTCCGCTCGGAAGCCGTCAACCCGGATAACGCTGCTAAGATCGCTGGTGGATTTCTGACAAAGCTGAAGGAAAATTCTGCAATGAGGAAGGCTCTTAATGCCGTCAAGACTTCTAACGGAGACGAGATGGCTGTGAGAAGGGCGATTACAGGGTTTGCAACTGCCAAGGAAGCTGCCAAAATGACCGATGACAATCTGGCCAAGTTGTCAGTGATGATTGCTGAGTCGGCGAAGAAGAACCCCAAGTCGTGGCCTCGTCTCCGCAAGTTTGCCACAATCATGCTGGGTGTTAACGTTGGTGGGTTGGCCATCTATGGCGCGTACAGGCTTATCACCGATAACAATTAATCGACGCCTGCGAAGATGACGATGAACCAAGACACTGAATCTGCCATTTCCGTAGAAACTCTATTCTTAGTTTGTGTTCTATACATGAATTGAATTGATCTACTTTTTTTCTAAGGTGGATGGCTAACAGTGTTGCGAGGAAGTCGCTGAGCTAGACCACAGCGTAGATCGATGGGAGGAGCTATCAAAATGCAGCTAACCAAGTTCACTTGAATTTTTTTTTGCTAATAAACACGAAGCTGGTACAGGTTGTCGTCGTCTTGTGTACGTGGATTGTATCGTCCCAGGTTATCGTCGCAATTGCCCACAACAGTGTGCCCCTAAACGTGATACACCTTCCATGAATTTGAAAATGCTCCGACCGTTGGCTTTCATTAATAATACGATGCTGACATCTCTCTCGAGTCCACATCGCAGAAGTTCCTACGCACTTCGTCAAATTGAGGTTGTCGCTGACCTTCTAAATATATATAAAAAAATAACTTCGTGATATTTTAGTTGATATGTGTGGAGATCGTTACTGTTAAGAATTGCTAATTGACTGGGAATTCTTGGGTTTTACAAAGAACTCCGTGAGTGACAACACAGAAATTAATTGCAGAAATGGGCAAAAACGATATCTTTTCAGATTGCTTGTTATGGATTGTCCGCCCTCAGGATGATTTTTTGTTAGCCTTCAACAAACACTGACCGAGTTATTCTTAGCGGAAAGGACCGGGCTTTATGACAGGGCCAGAAATATATATATTGTCAATATTACTCGATAGTATATAATTCGAGACCGCGTCAAACGATGCTTACAAATCTAAGTACGATTTGCGGTTTAAGCGCACCAATCAGCATTATAGAGTCTCGCGTTTATTTTGAGTTATTGTTTACTTCGAGATATCAAATATCCGAGAAGTTATAGCCATTCAAAACAAATCTCCCCTGTTTTGCCCCCCTCCCCTCCTTAATGACCGTATATTTTGAAGGGTTGTGAGCTCAATTTTTCTTCAATGTTTTCGATTAAGATAATGTTAGAAAGCTCTTGAGAAATCCAATCTACATAGTACGAGCTGAGGCATTTGCGGTAATCATCTAACCAGGAGATTTTTGAATATTAAACGGTCTATTTGCTATAAGATGACATAGTAATACTTTTAAATGCTAAAATTGATTCTAGCAAGGTATGTATAAAAAAAGTCTGGATGGCCGAAAAATACTTCGAGGGATGACACAGTAATAAAAACCTGCGTTTCTCGGCTTTGATATGTATGGTACATATTAAAGAGGAGAAAAGCAAAAAAAAAAGAAGCAGATTAGCATAACTACATATAAAGCACTTTCGCTTGGTGTCTGCTTTCAGCGAGATACGGTAGAAGAAAAAAGTATCTGACAACGGGAACTGACCAAACATACTGTTCTTACCCTCATTAAATGCAAGATACATACCAAACTTATCTAATACAGATACCAAACACTTACCGGTGTCATCTTTTTCAATGCATCGCTTGACATAGTCAAAATCAACATTTTCGGTTCTTACAAATGTTTTGAAGGCCTTGATGGCCGTAGCTTGAGCACGCTTGGTGTTTCCAGGCTTGAGCTCGTCCAGGCCCATAATGGTCGGAAAGGATGCAAATATGCAAATGATATGCAAGTATCTAGAACTTCGTAAGGACATACATATATTTCTCCTAGGTTTCCAACTCGATACGTCGGAATGGCTGGCCTAGAGGACCTACCTAACCCTCAATGTTGCAATTGGCTAAATTAATCATTGTCAAGTAATATGATTGGCTAAAATTAAATACAATGTTCTGATTGGCTGATTACAACGAAATTGGCACAATACAAACTTTAGTATGGTCGGAAAAGTGTTTATATTCATCCATATCGTGATATCTCATACCCGTAGCACAACTCCCGCAAAACACGTGAATGTTGCTTGTGGCGGCCAAGTGCAACATCATCGGTAATTTCCGAACGAAAGAAATTTATCTATGGTGAATGTCGTCCGAAGCTACGCTCAACAAGCAGGATGGAACTCGACGATTTCTAAAGGCAAATAGAGATAGCGGAAAATACACGCATTTGTCCATTAACCTACCTCGTTGCTGTAACCCGTTTGCATCTTTGGTTTATCATTCTCCGCCATAGGCTCTCTGTCCCTCTCTCTCTCTCGACGTTAGAATATATATTGATATGGTTGCAACTGAGCGTACTCTGAGAAATTCACTACAGAGGTCTTCGCTGAACGTTGTCGTAAACCAAAACGAAAATACTTGGACAGCATTATTTCGTGGGACCATTTTCCTTCAGACTGAGTTTCAACTCTATTGGGAAAAGGCACGCATCAACAACGACGACGTAACATTACAGTAAACCAAGTAGAACATCCGTCGCTAGTCGTTCCTACCGAACGAAGATGTGTCCAAACTTCCGACAAAGGTATATTATTTCGCAAAGGTTTAGCTGGTGGGCTGCAAAATTTAGAAGTCTGCGGAGTACACTGGCCGTGGAAGTTTATTCTAACTGTAAGTAGTCCTTGTCAATACTCGACAGGAACTATTTACAGGTTGTTGCTAGGACTGCAACAATACGTACAGTAAACTATAATGAAAATCCAGAGCTTCCCCGTGTAAAACTCTGCGTTAGTCAGTTACTGAAAAGGTTCTTATATGTGGGTGAGGAGCGCAGCGTTTTAAAGAGCGGTGATGCTTTAGGTCTTCTATATCGACTAGCAGCGACTCAGATCGCAGACGAGACCAACCAACTAGTTATAACATCATTCCCTAGAACCCGACGTAGGCATCGCTGTTTCCGTAGAATTCATGTGCATCCGCAGCAGGTAGGCCGTGCCGACACCAGCAAGCCCACCAAGAATCAACTGCCACACAATAAATGTGACGTCATAGAGACGAGACCACAACTTGGGCTTCGTCTTGGTAACTTCAGCCAGCTTTTTCGCCACCTTGCTTACCGATTCGTCACTTAGTTTGACCCCCTCCTTGGCAGCAGCAGCTTTGGCAGCGTTTCTGATCGCAGCGTCATCTTCGTTGACCTTGGCGATGTTAGTGACTTTCCTGAGCGCGGCATTATCCTTCAGTTTCTTGATGAATCCAGATGTAAGCTGAGCAACTTTGTCTGCATTTGCGGCCTCGATGTGTAGACGGCGAGCATTGTTTCTTGCACTGTTGGTGAGGGCACCGTTCTCGGCATTGGCGTGGCTGGTGAAGCATCCTATAGAAATAGCTACGAGAAGGATGAAGCAGTTGCTGAAGCGCATGTTGCTTTCTGTGGTGGAAAGCAAATGCTGGAATGGTCACCAGCATCTTATGCTACAAGCTGGTTGCAGGATTCCAATCTTTTTTTTGTTGTTGATTATCAGGTGGGAAATAGAGGATTACGACCTAGGATAGGTCCTTTGGCTTGGGGAGGGATGACTTCTTAGTGTCATAACCAGACGTGAATAGCTTGTCGGCTTCTGCTTACCGAATACTAACAAAGTGGACATTCCTACAGCCCAAACAATTCTATTAGTAGCTGCTCGCCAACAATCGGCTTGATCCCTCGTGTATAGCGTGAGCGGCATCGGCTCGTACAGTTGATACTTAGATGTCGCTCTTCCTTCGCGTTTATTGTTGACGCATAGCAACTCGCTATACGGTTCCGGGTTGGTCTGAACGGAGGAGCTGGTCGCGCTATTAGTGGTGTTGCTGTTTTTCATCGTTGTACCTAACTTCTGAACTTGCAAGTTTTATCATTTTGATGAAACCAAATAGAAAATGTATCTAACCAAAAATTCTGTAACTGTTATGTAATCTGTAAATGGCGTAGCCTTCAGCAAATCTTGGGCGGGTTCCACGGATTGATTTAAGTCACTAGTGACGAGGATACCCAATCCTCCGAACAGCGCAACATTATCATACCGGAGAAAGAAGAATCATTTTTTTTTGTGTTCCGAGATGGAGCTGTGTACAATAACAGCCCTACATGTAAAGATCAAACATGCCCCCACTCTGCAGCAACATACACTTGCCATATAGCATTGCTAGGACATGGAGCCGTTTTGTAGTTTGATGCTCCTCTGTTGTTCGTCAATGTGTACGAGCAACTTGCATTTTCAATGCGCGCAGGATATGCGCTGAGGCGAGAGCCATCCAATAGTACCTAATAATAATAAGAAAGGAACCGAATTTCATTGTAAAACTTCTTTGGTAGGCAGGTACTCTTTCATTTTGCGCAGCTAAGGGTATGTCGACCGGTTATGACGCATGCCAGTGCAATATCATTGAGCTAAAATCACTACCGAACAGAGAAAGGAACGGGGTATCTTTTAAAGTCCTAGAATAAGGGGAAAACCAGTTGAGGGCCGCCGACAGGTCGATCATTTCACAGGTCCATAAGTTCGGAACGGCTAGCGCAATATCAAAAAGCTTTGCAAGTCTGGAGAGCTGACAGTCTCTGCTACTTTTTTTTTTTGATAATTTTTTCATCTCTCAACCAGTAAGAATGAGAGAATAATCTGGTGCTGAAATTGATGCCTCAAATCAGTTAAAGGCCGCGTTTAGTTTGATTTTAGTAGCAAAATGGCAGCTGGTGGCGAAGTTCCCGAGTCTGACCCACAGCGATTAGGTTTCCCATGAAACTACATAATCTTCGACCTCCACGAATTAGCATAGTGTATTTATTCATACAGGTACCACCATTGAAGTATTTCATATGTCGATCGCGACGTGTTGGAAGCGCCAATAAAACTTTTCATCAATTGTGCGTGCAGGAACGGCTATGGTCGAATATGATCATTTTTCCGACATTACTAGAAGTTTGTATAAAGTGTAGCAGCCAATAGAATTCAACTTGCCAATTTTAAACCAATCATTCGACGTTATCAATGAAATTTTATCCAATAGTATAGCCAGGAAAATGGCAAGTCATGTACGCCAGTCGTTCCGGCGTATCGTGTCGGAATGCCCCTGTCGCGGAACCCGGGGCGTTTGTTTCCGAAGAATGAAATTTATTAATGATGAAAAGCAAAGCAAACAAATTGCACAAGCCTGGACTAACTCGTCTGCTGCAGATCCGCTTGTTCTTCTGTCCAGGTCTGATAACGCACGCCTGTTACCAATCGCTGTTGGTGCAGCGTGCCTCAAACCCATAAATGCCAACACCGTCCGTGAACTCCTTGCCGATAGGCCTGTGGCGTGTGCCTCGCTGCTCACATCTTCTCGAAGAGGCTCTTGCCGAGCCTGAGCTTGTTCTTCAACCTGACGGTACGGCGACAGCCCCGCAACATATCTAAACCTCCTCGCAATAATAAGCAAGTGAAAAGCATATCACTTGCATATCTGCCACCTATCCGACAGGAGACATGGGCTTGGAGGAGTTAGCCCCCGGAAACACAAAGCGTGCCAAAGCAACCGCCGTGGCAGCGGTCATGCGCTTTTTGAAAACTGAGGGTGTGGTAGAGGAGTATGTGCTGAGCGTGATGAGAGTGGGAAGTGTTTTGTGTCCGTCATGGACAAGTTTGGTATGCATCTTGGGTTTAATGAGGGCAAAAAAGGCAAGCTATTAGTTTGAAACACTTCGATGGAGTACTACAGGCAAGCCAAGATTTGGCTCCTCGACCAGTTTCCTCAGCACCGAGCTTCCTTGGAAACTCGTCTGCTCAAAATGAGGAAGACTCTAGATAGTTTTTGTATGAAGCGTGACGGTGGTGGCTTCATTAGCAAGGCACTACCATGCACAAAGGTTGACTTAAAACGACTGTTTGCGTTTTTGTACGTTAATGCTAGCTGCTCAAGTGACTACCAAGACGCCGCGCTGCTGTGTCTGCTTTGGCATCGGGAAGAGCCTCGGACCTCGCGCCCCTGAGATAGCCCAACGTATCCATCGATGCTGGGAACGTGCTCTTCGTTCGCTTCATCAGGATGAAGACTCCGAGGAACAAGCCTTGTCACTCTTCGCTGGGACAGAGTTTGAAACGTGCCCGATGCTTGCCA